GAGGGACTGGCAAAACGTTCCTAATAAGACTGATTCTGGCAGCAATTCGATCCTAAAATGACATAGCCTTAGCTCTTGTATCGTCTGGAATAGTTGCGACCTTGCTACCCACCGAAAGAACTGCCCATTCCACTTTGAAATGGAATTGCCGTTAAACGTGAAATTCATTGAAATTCCCACGTGCAACATTTACAAGACATCCGGCATGGGAATAGTACTGCAGAAATTCAAACTTATCGTTCGTTATGAATTTACGATGGCGCACAAAAACCGCTCGAGGCTCTTGATCGATCATTGGAAGATTTGCGCGGAAACAGCAGACCATTTGGATAAACATTGCTACTGCTTACAGGAGACTTCAGGCAGACACTGCCTGTAATTCCTCGATCAACACCAGCGGACGAAATAAATGTTTGTCTGAGATACTATACGTTGCGGTGCCACGTCCAGACGTTAAAATTAACTACAAATATGCGTGTCCATCTGCAAAATGACCGATCAGTTGAGATAATCTCACACCAATTGTTGGCATTGGGAACGGAACGGTGCCGGTTGATCGGACTTCAGGACGCATTTCACTGCCTCCTACCTTCGGCAGTTTAATGTCGTCAAAAGAAGGATTCGTTGAAAGGTATTTCCCAATATTCAAACCAATTATACGAATCACGATTGGCTGAGCGAACGAGTTATTCTTGCAGCCAATAAGAAATCTGTCTACCAACTTAACCGTGTTATTCAGTCTAAGATTCAGGGCTAAGCAGTCACACACACGTCCGTCGGCGCTGCTGTGGAAGCAGACGAGGCAGTTAATTATCCAACAGAATTCTTGAATTCTGTTATCCCTGCCAGGGATGCCGCCGCCGCACGTACTGCAATTGTAGATCGGCATGTCGACTATCATGTTGCGAAATATCAACCAACCAAAGTTTTGCAACGACACGCGGCTTGCTGTAAAAAAATTAATGAACAACGTCATGGAAGCAACTATCTTGACAGGATTTTCCAAAGGTGAACACGTTCCACTGATTCCAACTGATATGCCATTTCAATTTAAGAGACTGCAATTCTCGATTCGATTGGTGTTTGCAATCATCATCAACAAAACTCAGCAGTTTGGATCTGCAAACGGATTGTTCCTCGCATGGCGAATTATAGGTTGCGGGCACCAGAGTCGGCAAACTAGACGATCTCTACATCTGTACAGATAATGCACTGACAAGAAAATATTGTATACCCACAAGCATTAAGCAATTAAACTTATTAGAGAAGTGCCCCTTTTTCTTTCTTTCCCAATTCATCAGACTGAGCCACAGCAACGTGTGGCCGGGTACAGCTAGTGACTAATAAATCCAGGGGATCCAAATCGGAACGATGGCTGCTTTCCGATGAATGCACAACAATGACCCTGTACACTCAACGTGTGACATCTTTTCGCAGTTGTACGCGGAAATAAGGACTACCCGTACAGCAGGTGATCGTGCGCTAAATTCCAGGGGGTTTACCTATTCCCATGTCCCGTGTTTACCCCGAAACCCACCCTAGCCAATCCTGAAATTTAGCTCAGGGTCGCTTATAATACTGGAGACCGACATTCTCGTTTAGCTGCGCCAAAGGTTCAGATTGAAGACTTTCCGAAGCAAAAACACGCTTGCTGATCTTTGACTCTCATACTTGAGGTATATTTTCACATAACTAATTGAATACCTATTATTACTTAAGTTAACGACGGAGATAATTCGACTAGTTCCTTCCTGCTGTACTAGGCAAAAGCGCGGTGGAAGTCTGTGGTAGTACACTCTCGTAGTAGTCGCCAGCACGACCGCCTTCCCATATCACCTTTGGTCCAATGACACCCCTTCTTAGATGACTGTCTGTCTCACGTGACTCAGCACCTCAGGCATGACGAGGGACTGACGCCTATCACATTTGGGTCTTCGCACGGGGACATGGCTCAGGCGCACGCACGCACGCACCTCGAGCCGGGGCTACCAACAGCAACGTCTGGCTCTCAATGCGGCAAAGTATGGGCAGTCGCCGGCTGCTGAGCCATTGGTGTTCCAGCAGCCGAAGTAAAGACTTCTGCTAATGGTAGGGGACGCTCACCGATCGTTCTTACGGAACTCACTCGTTCCGTTGTGCCTTACGGGCTCTTTCTCGAGCCAAACCAGCAGCCGCACAGCGGCGCAGTCTCTCTTGTCTCTCTTCTTCTGCTAATGCCGTCTCCTGGGCTGTCGACTTTAAGAACTCTTCGTTGTCGACCATCGCAATTCGATAGTCCTGAAACAGTCTTTTGTGAGCGAGCTGACAGGCTCGGGCGGTCGACTGGTGCATAGGAGGTGGAAGAGAGTGAGAGTGGAGTTAACACTAGGGAGTCCATCCCCACGGCAAATTTGCACCTTCTTCATTATACTAAATCAGATGTGCTTGAATTAATCCCGACGCACTAAGAGTTAGCCATGTCACTGCGCCTGCATCCACCTCCGGTCGTCTTGGTATTGTCTTGCTATCAAACCACAATGACTAAGGGAAGAGATGGTGAAGCAGGCGCTTCACAAGTCTGCCTCATGAAATAATTCGCAC